GTTGTGCGACTTACCTGACAACTGTGATTGTACTCTAGCAGGTAAGTAAATTATTAGAGGTCACAGCTATTATACTAGTGTTTTTAATTTTTTTTGTTGATAAAATGCGAACTTCTTTCAGTACCAAAACCTTTTCCTAATTAGTTTCCTATACAAATAGTTACCAATTCTTTGTCTTTAACTTCAAAATGGCAATATCGTTTATTATTTAAATCCACCCATTATCTCATAATCATTGTGCGAATATTCTAGCTTAATGATAAAAAATAACACCCAGTCATTAAAAGTTTCTAAAGTTCAATATATCATCGATTTCTTTTAGTTATTTAACAGGACCGTCCACCATGCCATTCTTTAGATGAAGAATCCTACATTGCAAGAAACAAATGATCAGTAGAAAAATCACAAAAATGTTGTTGTTTTCAGTTTAAAATTAAAATGTACTAATTTCGAGTGTATGACTGCATATTTTATTTTTGAAATAAATAATTATGAATGCTTTGTTTTTGTTTTAATTTCGCGCAAAGTTACACGAGGGCTATCTGCGATATACGTCCTTAATTTAGCAGTGTAAGACTAGAGGGAAGGTAGCTAATCATCACCATCCACCGCCAACTTTTGGGCTACTCTTTTACCAACGAATAGTTGGATTGACCGTCACATTATAACGCCCCCACGGTTGAAAGGGCGAGCATGTTTGGTGGGTTGGGGAATCGAACCCACGACCCGCAGATTGCGAGTCGAGCACCCTAACCACCTGACCACGCCGAGCCGCGATTATGAATGCAATTGAGAACATGTGTACTAAAATTTAATTTTATGATTCTTAGTTGTTTTGTTTAAAATTTTAACGACACTGTATCCGATACAATCTTGTAACATAGGCAAATACATTAAACTTACGAAACCAAATCTGTTCTAAGATTTTACCGTAAAATGGGTTCCACGCTTTTTTATGTTTTCTTTTGTACATTTATATTAAATCGACAAATATCTAATAGAAATATTGTAAAATGTATATTATGATTTCTAGTTAACTATTCAGACACTAAAACAAATCAATATGGACCTTAAATTCCTACTTGCAAGGCCAAAATTATTTTATCGAAACCCGGCTTTTAATGTTGTAAGTCCCCAGACATACCGCTGTGCCACTCGGGGTTTATCAATATTGAGCTTTATTTCATGGATTCATGAGTATTTATAAACAGATATGTAGAAACGTAAAAAATATTGTGGGGCTCATCTTAGCGGGGCCCCCTATGTGATATAATTTTGAAATAGACAACAATGAATTTAAATGCATTGTCCTCAAGACCCCCCCCCCCGTGTTTATTTAATTTGTTTCACAGTTTTTGTTTTGTACAAATTATTTTATAAAAAGTATATTTATATTTAAAGAAATTACCCTTTTGACTAATTATATTATATATATATACCAATCAAATATGTATTATTTGCTAAAATTTCACATAAGTATCATCATGAAATCACAACCATGTCATAAAAAATGATACATTACCTTTAGATGATAAACTAACTACAAAAACATCATCAGACCTTTCATTCACAAGCTAGGGAACTCGTTAAAATTTGAATGGAATCTCCGATTCATGAAAATTTAGAGATCATTGACAGCGTTCCTGAGAAATATAAAAAGAAAGCTGTAATTCTACCGAACTTGATACGTTCCAGTGGTGATCTAACGTGGAATAATCTTGTAGAATTAGTGATTAGTAGAAGATCCGTCCCAAACAGGAACATAATCGACTTAATCAACGACGTGCTACGAAAACGACAGAATTTTTACCCTACAGGATGGAAAGAATTTGCTGAACGATTATCAAATATGAATATTCCCCAAGAAGTTGTTGGAAATACAGACAAATGGAAGTATATGAAACATCATACAAGTGTTTGTTTGTTTGTTTTGGA